CACTGAAACGCTGAAGTGGTGGGATAAGGATTTGAAATGGCAAACAATGAGACAGATTACAAAATACCTTATTTGCAGACATGACTGCTTCTGTCTACTAGAGGATGTTCTGTGTGTATTTTACTTCTGCAAACATCCACCTCTGAGAACAAGAATTATGTATGTACCAGTCCTTCCCTTTGAACTGATACAGTCTTGAATGGACAAAATATCCTCTTGTAGCTGCTGAACTGAAAAAACATTAGCTACCTTCTCCTGCTTCACTTCTTGGCCAAGTCATGTTCAGGTGGGTGCTTCTCCAAGTCCATTTTTAAGTTTGAACACTGAGTTTAGTAAGCAACAGTCTGCTTTTCTCTCTCTCAAGGTAATAGCCTTTTTCCTAAGATAATTACTCATTGTTCAGCATCTTGGCATGTTAGAGTCGCACTTTATAGCCTAACCAAAGTAGGTAGACTATATGAAGAGGTAGTGACAATGTAAACACAAACTTTTGTGAGCTCACTTCATGAGATGTTGTGAAAGGACAGGCGCAAAGCCGTGTATAAGAAGGAGAGAGAAATTAGAATACAAAAGACAATGGAGGAGGGAGGGAGGGTGAAAGGGGAGTTAGGTACTACAGATAAACACTTCTAATACCTCCCAAGCTTTAGATAGACTGAGCATGACACACACACACGTAGGCATCACCAGGAATGTCCCGAGGTGAAGGCAGTAGAGAAGGAAGGATTTGGTTAGCTTTGTGAGGCAGCACAGAAGCTCCTCTTCCCTATTCATTCTCCAGCTGCCATCTTCCTCATGGTCAAATTTAATTTAACATGAACTAGGCTGCTGTTAGCTAAATACTAGGACTGTGCGAAGCATTGGGTACTGATTCGATTTGGAGGAAATTCGGCCCGATTTGGTGGCTGAATTTCCAAATTCGAATTGAATCAGGGGACCAATAAAAAGGTCCAGACTAATTCGAAGCTTTCCAAATCTTTGGAAAAGATTTTCAATCTTCGATGATTCAGGCAGTCCCCAGTCGCTACAGCAGGGAGCTGGAGCCAGACTCGGAGCTGGTAAGCAGGGGCCAGGCGAGGGGGGCTGGAGGAGGGGGTAGGGGACTATGGGAGGATCCCTGTTAGGCCCCATCCCCTGCCTGCTGCCCCAGCACCCCTGACCCGCGCCTGCTCCCCCAGCCCCCGCATGGCTGCCCCGCTTGCCACAGCTCCCAGTGCTTTAAAATAAGCCCCGACTCACCAGTTGCTGCCGGGCGGGGGGCGATCCCTGCTGCCCCATGCTGCATGGGGGCCTCAACCATGAGCCCCCTGGCCCCCCCAGCTCTTTCAG